CAAATTCTTCTGCTAGTTGGGGTTTAGTCCACTTTTGTATCCTTCCCTTCAAGGCTCAGGGGTCCAAGATTATGTTTTGTGTCTGTGTTAATTGGTTTCCCTTTTCTTTGTTGAAGAGGGTCTGTGCAGTCCTTCTGCCTAGTCCACCATCTTTGAGCTTCATGTTTTTAACTGAACCTTAGTATCAAAATATCATGACAACTCTTGAAATTAACTTTACAGATGTTAATTCAACTCATTTTTTCTAAATGAAATCAAAATTGATCTCCCCAAGGAACAAAAATCTGCATTAGCACTACCAGGTTCATGGATTTTTTTCTTTTCTTTTTTTTTTTAATTAATCATTTAGAACATTAGCACTAATGTTTTAAAGAGAGATTATATTTTTTTCGTATTTGGAAAAATACTGTTAAAATGAAGGAAGATTTTATAAACATAAATGTATGTAAAATACATGATATTATATGCTCTGTTATTAACACCAGCCTTTCTTAGAGAAGGTTCTTAAGAATATTATTTTAAAAGATGCTTTTGTCAAAATGTGTGTAAAGACAATTAAGTTTGGGTAAAATAGAATGTGCACCCCCTTTTGCAGATTTGCAGGGTAAATAAAGACAGAGAAATCCTGTTGTTGTTTGTTGTTGTTATGTGCCATCAAGTACTACCTACTCATAGCGACCCCTCCTTGGGTTTCCAAGCCAGTATCACTACAGAAGTAGATAGCCCCATCTTCCTTCCAAAGAGTGGCCTGTAATAGGTGTGTATTTGTGTTTAGGTGATCATGTTCCTTTTAGTGTTGATTAATCTAAAATTTTCCAAACTAAATTGACCAAATCTCTTTTCATATAAACTAATGTTTTATAAAACTTATTTTGAAAAGCATTGCCTCATACAATGTATAGTTACATTCAGGGAAGTTCTGAAACATAGGACAAAATTGTAATGTATAAATACAAAAAAAAAAAAAATTATCTTCGTATTTCTTAATATTCTGAATTTTGTTTACCATGGATGAACATCAACATCAGCCAGAGGGAAAACTACTCCAAAAGAAAGCCAGACTGGAAAAAATCGAATTAGACATTCTGAATTGCCAGGATCATTAGAAGACCCAAATACTGATTATTTTAGCAACAGAAAAAGGTAATTAGCATAGATGTTAATGCTGATGTTAACATGTCATAATATAAACTAGGAGAGAAAAAGAGAAATATCCAGGGTACTGATATAAG